GACTATCCAATATGTTCAATGAGAGCAAGATTATTTTAGATGCATGACCACAGAATCATGCTTCATGTAATTTATCAATTGAAATATTAAAAAAAATCTCCAAACTCAATATACTTTCCTGTTTCAACCATGAAAGAGGCGTGATATATAAGAATTACTTGCTTACAAGAGTATGCTATGAGGCCCAATGTGGTAGTCTAGCGGCTGAAGTCCTCTCCTGCACATGCCAGGATCCAATATGGGCACCACACTAATCCCAGCTGCTCCACTTCCCATCCAGCTCCCTGCCTGTGCCCTGGGAATGTAGTCGAGGACAGCCCAAAGCCTTGGAACCCTGTACTCCATTGCAGACTCAGAGGAAACTCTGGGCTGCTAGCTTCAGATCAGCTCAGCTCCGGCCGCTGCAGTCACTTGGGAAGTACACCAGTGGACAGAAGATTATTCTTTCTGTAAATCCGACTTTCCGAAAAAGAGAAAATAAATCTTTTTAAAAAAAAAATTTATGAAGAGTATGCTATGGGTGGTAGCATATGTGAAAATGACAAGTGAGATACAATTATTTAAAAAAATACAGGATAAGAGCTGAAAAAAGAAGTGAAGATTTTGCCCCTTTTTTCCTGATTTTTAAGTTGTTTTTAAATTAATCTAATATTCACAAATAGCCTGGCTTCTACTGAATTCTCCAAAGCTAACTCTGATATCCAAACTAGGATCCTAATGTTCAGCCATTTTAAAATTCCACTAAAATTTCCTTCCAAAATCCATTTCATGAACATTTTCCATGTGATTAATTTTCACTGACTACAATGACAAGTCTTTGTTTAGCAGCTGTTTCTGAAGCTCTTCATGCTTTGTTCTCAAGTAGGCCTATTGTTTTGTTTTCAGTCTCTCATCACAGCAATCTGGCATATGATATCTTGTCCACCCCTTGCTTGTAGTGGCCCATTCAACAATTTTTCCAACTGCTCCTTGCTAGCTTTGGTTACAAGGGTGAGGATACTTTGAAAATTTTGTGCTTGGGGCTGCTGTTGTGATCTAATGGGTAAAGTTTTTACCTGCTAGAGTCCCATATATGAGCTGCTTCTACTCCCTAACCAGCTCCCTGCTAACGCTCATGCGAAAGCAGCAGAAGATGGCCCAAGGTCCTGGGGTCCCTACACCTAAATGGGAGACCCAGACCATGAAGCTCCTAACTCCTGGCTTCAGCTAGGTCAAGCCCCATCCATTGAGGCTATATGAGTGAATAAGCAGATGGAAGATTCTCTCTCTAACTTTGAAATAGAAAAAGTAAGTCTTTTTAAAAACTTGTGGATGTAGTTGGCATTGTGATGCCGCCTAAGACGCTAGCATCCTGTATTGGAGGACTATTTTTGATTACCTGCTATCCTGCTTCCTCTCTAACTCTTTGTTCATGTGCCTGGAAAGCAACAAAGGAAACCCCAGATACTTAGACCCTGGTTATAGTCACAGGGGACCTGGATGGAGCTCCAGGCTCCTGGCTTCAGCTTTTGTGGCCATTTGAGGAGTCAAGATACAAGCAGATGAAGGAGTCTCTCTCTCTCTCTCTTACTTTGCCTTGCAAATAATAAATATTTTCTCTTAAAAAGTTTGCAGAAAAATTAGTTAGAATATAAGCTTATTTGGTGCCAAAAATGTTTAAATTCGTGTGTAGTTGTTTTAGACTTCACATTTTTCATGAACTTTTTAAAGTTTGCCCTTCATCTTCCAGAAAAGCATTTCAGTGTACTTTTATAAGAAACACAGTAGCTAATTCCCTTTGTCGGATCTAGAAAGATCCTTATATGCAAATCAATTCTGACTTTGAAACATCTCAGAGAGCATAACTATTTCCAGTGCCTCTTTGAGTAAATAAGAAAGGCTGACACAGCACCGTTATGAGTACGTTATGAAATGACCTTAGTTCAAACCTTGTTACTAATAAAACCATGACCAAAACAGCAAATGTGACTGCAAACTGTGAAGTAGATTCTTTAATGCAAGTAGGGTTAAGCAGCACATAGGTGCTTTGTGCATTACATTTTACCATTTAGCCTCTCCAAAGTGTCTTCATGTTGGCTGTCGATGCCTCAATATCTCTGTAAACCAGGGCATATTGTTACTCTTCCCTCCGCTGTTCAAAGAAATTGCAGTTCTCATGAGAGAACTCAGAATCTAAATCTCCTGCATTCCCATGCAAAATCCTTGAACAGTTACAATAAAATTAACATTTTTCCACTTTGAAAACATGAAAAATGGGTGTTGTGAAAACATTTAATTTTTGGCTTGGATGTTACATTTTTATTGATTTATTTTTTGTCTTTTTCCCTCTTGGGTCCCCTCTGGAAGCATTCTTTTCTGCTCTCAAATAGGCTGCTGTGACCTTTATGGCTTAGCTTCCAGCTCTCATTAAGCAGGCACTGAACCCCAAGACTGCTACTGCTGTCAGCGGCTGCACTGCAAAGGGGAAGGGAGGTTACCTTAGCCAGCCAACAACAGAGTGTAGAGACCACACAAAAGAAACAGCCCTTATGTTGATGGAAAATTTAAGTTTGTAAAAAGCTTGACTAGTTGGCACCAGCACAATGGCATGATAGGTAAACCCTCTTCCTGCATCACTGACATTCAGTATGGGTGCCACTTCCAACCCCAGGGTTCTCTATTTCCAATCCAGCTCCCTACTTATGGCATAGGAAGGCAGAGGAGGATGGGTCAAGTATTTGGGCCCCTGCACCCACATGGAAAACTTGGAAAAAACTCCTGGTTCCTGGCATTGGACCCACCTAGCTCTGGTAGTTATGGCCATTTGGGGAGCGAACGAGAGGATGGAAAATCTATTTCTCCATCTCTCGTTCTTTCTCTGTAACTCTGCCTTTAAATTAAAATAAAACAACAACAACAAAAATGTCATTTTTTAAAAGCAAACAAAAAGTATTACTAGCTTTAAAACGTTAGAAACTCAGAAGTAGATGTGTGGCACAGCATTGAGACACGGCTTGGGATGCCCACATCCCACCTAATACCTGAGTTCTGATTCTACCTGAGGCCCTAGTGTTCTGATAACACACCCTGGGAAGTGAGAGGCGATGGGGCAAGAGTCTCTGCCATCCACATAGCAGACACAGTATCAGTTGGGCTCCTGACGTCCTCCTGGTTTGGGCCTATTGCGGGTATTTGAGGAGTGAATCAGCAAGTGGAAGTTTCTCTCTCCCTCTCTCTCTCTCTCTCTCTCTCTCTCTCTCCCTATATGTGTATGTGGTGTGTGTCTCCACCCCCTCTATCTTTCTGCCATTCAAATAATAAATAAACAGAATTAAGAAAATCAGGAGATTCCTAGTAAAGCAAAACAGGACACTGAAATAATTTTTTTAATACTGATGGTAAGTTATGACTGGCTGAAATTTCTGCATCCCCCAACCTCTGTTATGCACAGTACCATTCACCATGGAGCTCCAGGATGCTCTTTATCAATGAGATTTCAGATCCAATGTCACCTCAAATGCCCAAGCTCTTTCCTGGCCACTTAACTGAGGACACACCAGCCCCTCGCTGTCCCGTGGTCCCTATGGGATTTCCGTCATAGTGCTTTTCCTTGTCTGACAGCATAGTTAACGCATGCTTTCAGTTCCTAGCCTTAATTTGCAATTGATAACTGCAATAATCAATTTGATAGCCACCAGACAGGCAAGGAAAAACATTAAAGCTCCCTTGTTAAAACTCTGTTTATGATTGTTCTTATATTCAAAGGGCTTTATCAAGATGAGCAATCCTCTCACATGAGCTAGTTATGTGATCCATCTTTGAAGAAATGACTGCATAGGAAGGGCAGATGTGTTGATACAGCCAAACAGAGTACTGTCTGGATGTTTTCAAAGGTGCTTCGAAACGGAGTATAAATATATCTAAGTAAATACTGTCCCACACTAAAGTTGTTTGTTGATCCTCACACAGAAATCAGACTTCCCTAGAAATTTGAAAAGTAGAGCTGATATGGCTGGTAAAAGGAATAAAACTCTTCAGGTCAACAGCTAAACTTCTGATATCGTAATGGATCTTCTAATTCTATGATCACATGGAATCACACATTCTCTGCTTCAGTGGAAGCTTAAGGTAGCCATTCAGTAAACACAGACTCCCTCATTATTTTTCCAGGCACTGTGTTAAATGCCTGGTAGTTCAGCAGGGAACAAAGCAAAACCATGCGCTTCCAGCTAAGTGGGAAACACTCCAATCAGATGAACACCAGTACCCATCCACAAAGGTTGATTTCTGATATAAAAGAAACCTACTCTGTGCCATGAGAACATACATATGCAGAGGGAACTGCTCCGGCCTAGGGTGACACATTTAAGCTGAAACGTGAAATGGGCGGTTGCTTCCCAGCTGGCAGTAGAAGCACGGAGAGATTACGGATGATTCAGAGTGGATATGTGTACAAGTTGGGTACACTTGCCTTGCTGTTCAGTGTCACGGCTTTAGGGAAGCAGGTCTTTTGGGGCACTGCATCGACTTTTGCTGCCTAAGAGCTAAACAGACTTGGTTTATGATGATGTACAGAGCTGTGTTCCTCCACCACCTCATGTGTCATAAAGAAATAGAAATAATAGAAATTTGGTTATTTTATTACCTAGTTCCTGGCATAATGAATAGTAGAAAATGAGTTTTCAACATCACAATGAATCCATTTGGTTATTCCAAATGAAGGAGCAAAATCCTATTTAAGGAAGGCAAGCAGTGCAAAAACCCATGTATTTAGATGAACCTTAAATACTATCAACCAAATGCTCTTTTTGTGAATTAATTGCTTTTGAAAACCTCCCGGAAAGCTTTCAACACTCCCATTATCATATCTACATTGTGCATTCTCTTAGGGACAAAAGAGGCCAGGTAAGCTAAATTCATACTTTATTAGCCCTGATTCATTTGTATTATTCTGACTTTTGATGACTTGCCAAATAAATAATGGAAACCAAACGGTTTGATCATCCTATTACCTTCAACAGTTATAAATCAAGATGGCCAGCCTCTCATAGAAGGAAAACTTAAGGAAAAGCAAATCAGATGGAAGTTCATCAAACGATGGAAAACTCGCTATTTCACACTAGCTGGAAATCAACTCCTGTTTCAAAAAGGAAAGTCTGTGAGTTCCTCTGCAATTTTGCACTTGAATTTTTAAGATCTTGATATCTGTCAGCCAGCTAGGTTGTTTTATTCTGAGTTAAAACTCATTAAACAATCAGTCTCAGTTTTATTTTGTTGTCATGTTCTTTGGTCTATTCTGTTCCGTTTTGTGCCAGTTGGTCCCTTGTGCCTCTTCAGTTTATTATGGAAGATACCTTTCCTTTTCAGAAAAGGAACTACATGTTAGTAGGTAATCTTTACTCAAAAACCAATACATAACATTGAGAACCAACTATATATTAATATTGACTCTGATTCTTTAAAATAACTATAGGTTATTTTTGGAAGTGTGAAACTTAGAAAAAGGGATAATAGACAAGAAAAGAGAAATGATGAAGATTAGCATAACAAAATACCTTTCATAGTCAACTAAGTTCAACTCTGATCAGGGAAAAATACTCATATCTTTCATCTAGCCAAAAAGTGGAGTAAATTTATAATAGAATTAATAAATGTTCACCTAATGTAACTTCACCTAATGTAATTTACTATCTGAGCTAGTACACTCAGTAAATATCTATCATCTGAATTTTCAGTGGGAAAATGTTGAAATATTCTTCACCTATCAACAATGTAAAGGCATGTCCTTTTCATTTAGTGTTCATCTATTCATTCAAGATCATAAGGAATTACATCTTTACCTACTTCTTGGTTCTTTTGAAATACAATCAAAGTAACTCATGTGTGGTATTACGACCTAGCGCAGCCAGGCACACCCCAACCCCAGCTTTTGCATATTCCAGCAGGTGGCAGAAAATGTTATTTAGCCCAGCGCAGGGCTCCCTCTTGGGCAGGTGCCCTGGACTGACCCAGACATAGCCTCGGGTCTCCCCCTTCTAAACCACACCATCTCAGCTTCCTCACCTACCTGCGATTTCAGTGGCCTGGTCTATGAAATCTCCAGAAATCATTCCTCCCCTACAAACATCCCTGAGCCACTCTTATTCCAATATGTCCTCACATCCCCTTCACCAGGGCAATCTGCAGCCGCCAGGTCTCGGCACCAGGGTGGTATGTCCAGACCCAGCATTCCCTGCCTTCCCCACATAGCGTTAAAAAAAAAAAAAGAAAAATAGAATGGGCAACTATGCTGGCACACTGGTTTGATTAACACAAAATTGGCATTAACCAGGCTCATAATGCCCACCAGCCTTGGCTGCTCTTCTCCCAACAGTATAGCACTTGACTAGGTACAAGGCAACCGAGGCAGTTGCCAACAGCTGGGACAATACATCACTAGATGAAAACTGAGTAATATTTGTCAATTCTCTGTAGCAACAGTTCATTTTCAGATCAGATCAAATTCAATCTTTAGTTGTAAATGTATGAGTGAGAGTCTTTTTTTAGATTTCTTAGTCATTTGGGTTATTTTTAGAGGAAAGACAAGTATTTTAGAAAGAGGACTGAGTCTGGAAGACATTCTACTTTTGTATTATACTAAATCTCTACCAACTTACCAGGCTCCAACTTTCTCTCCACTCCCACGTTAGTTGATGACTGTAGAAATGTTGTATTCTCCGCCAGTTTGTCCACAGATCAATTTCTGTACTGTAGGTGAATTCAAAGAAATACAAAGTTATTACTATGAAATGCTCAGTATAAAACAAATTAGGACAAAACAATGGTGTCTAAAGTAGCTTCCTGTACGCTTCAACCTGAAAGTATTTGGAAAACCCTATACAATACCTTACAATATTGCTGCATCAACAATTTTATCCTAAATGTAAATAGCTGACTTTCAAATAAGTCTCTAATAAAATAAATAAGCAGTCACCCAGATGATAGTGTTCACTGAATTACATTTGAAAAGCAAAAGATCACTCTCTCCTGTGAATGTAGCCACTGGAATAAAACAAACTTTACCTTAATATTAAACACTATTTTTTTAATTACACAAATTGACACTTCTTTAGTAGAAATGTATAAAATATTTCTTATTTCTTTGAGATAACATCTCCCACAGCATTTTTATTCTGATTACCCTGCAATAAAACCATCCTACAGATGGACATGTTATTGTTCTGATTTCTTGTGGTCCTTAGTCTCCGAGTGGTAAGATTTTTCTGATTGGCTTATCTTTCTAAAAATGTATATTATTTATGAAAGTCCATATTACAATACCAAATTTAGTAAATCATTTTTAGCATTAAAAATTGAAATGTTATTGACTATGCATCTTTTCATGGAGTAGCTGAGGAGTGATCTGGTTGCCCTGGCTGTCAGACATTAATATTTTGAGGTGCTTTCTTGTTTGATTCTCCCGAGACTTTTCTAAGTTGGGCAATAAATCATGGACATTTAAGTTGAGCTAAGAAGGGGACCTTTCATTGTCATATTGCGGAGGGGTGATTGTAACAGGAGAGGTGGGAAAAGGATTGACAAGGTTCTCAATCACAGGTTCATTTTCCAGCAGACAGTATGTAATGAGAAAGTGCATAATTCCTCAAAACCATCCATAATTACCTACAGCGGTGACTTCTCTTCTTGTAGAGGCACTTCAACCACTGCTCCGATAAAAGACAAATGTAACGCCATTGCAAATTCCTCCCATGGCATTCTAAACCAAAGCATGCTTCCAAAGCTGCAGGGAGTTTTGAAACCGTTTGATCTACTCTAACATTGGAACCCTACTTATTAAATTAAGGGCTTGGCAAACATTTTCTCAGTATTAGCACAAAGGAAAAATCAGTTTTATACTTCTCAAGCTATCTGAAATTCAGAGTTAATAGCGTTCCAAATAGAAAACAGCAGAAAATCAAAGAATCACTACTCTATAATAATTTTCTCTCACCTGGATATCTTATGCCGATTCGTGGTACTGCAACAATGATTCAGTTATTCATCCCTTCAGTTATTTTAGCGACTCACTGAGGCCTTAACATCAGTGTCAAAGGTCTTGAGCTATGAAAGTAAAAGGTTACTGGCCCTCTTGGAAAATGTTTCACTCGCTAGTAGGCACCGGCTCACATTCTGTTCTTCCCATGTATTTCAGAAAGATGATCCTGATGACTCTCCAATAGAGCTCAGCAAAGTACAGAGTGTAAAAGCCGTGGCCAGGAAACGCAGGGACCGCTCTCTGCCCCGGGCTTTTGAAATCTTCACAGACGACAAAACCTACGTGTTCAAGGCCAAGGATGAGAAGAAAGCGGAAGAGTGGCTGCAGTGCATCAACGTGGCAGTCGCCCAAGCAAAAGAGAGGCAAAGTAGAGAAGTAACGACTTACCTATAGGACCTTTCCCACAGTCTTCATGCAGCCATGTACAGCAGGCAGTGCCTTATCACTGCCAGCGTCAAGAAAAAGGAATTTACCAAGCCATGCTGTTGTTTTTTACTAGTAACCGCAGAACAGCTGTCTCTAACGCCGAAAATGGCAAGATTCTTAGCAAATTTAATATCCTAACAGCGGTTGGATTAACTTCAGAATATCTGAAGCACACAGGAAAATAAGCTACAGTGTGTCCTTAGCGGAGCCAGTAAGGGAGGAGTCATGGCCAAAGGTACTTCAGTAGCTCTATCATCTAAAACTAAGACTACAGAAGAGGGTATTTAGTTTTGAGTTAGAACATCTGTATCCCACATAGAAGTGTCTCAAGTTAATTCCTAATGCTGGTTCCTGATTCCAGTTTCCTACTAATGCAGACCTGGGGGTCCTGGGTTTGTCTCTAGCAATGAGATTTCTATCACCCACACAAAGCCCAGAACTGAGTTCTTGGCTCCTGGCTTTGACCTGGCCCATCCTTGGCCACTGTGAGCACTTGAGAACTGAACCAAAAGTTGGGGCCTCTCTCTCTCTCTACGCCCACCTTAAATAAATAAACGTATTTTTAAAACCAGCTTTAAAAGATTCCTCAGCTATCTTTCCTGAAGAAAAATTGCTACCTGTAATGAAAATCACAGTTTGACAAAGGTATTAAAAGCTGCATACTAGAAAAAGTTGAATCAATATGCAAAGAAAAATCATATAACCTACTTGTAGATGTATAATTGTAATTATCCTTTCTTAATATAAATGAGACTAACACATAAAAAGTAGTTCAAACTGATTATGTGATTAAATTTCTGTCTTCTAGAATTACTTTTCTTACTATTCCTTTCAGATTCATGAAATATAATCTAAAATGTATCTACTTGTATATACCCTCTACTCAAGGCAGTGTCACAAAGCATAGAAAACCATTTTCTCTATCTACAGAGTTTGCACCAACCACTTCCACTAAACTTAAATATTTTAAAGTTCTGTCCTTTTTCAAACCTTTTAATACCTCCAAGTTGCAAATATTCGCTCTTTTTTTGCCATACGTATCTACACACACTTTTTTTTTTCTTAGCTAAGGTGTGTTAAGCAGAACTGTGGGATAATTTCCGATGCTGCATTTACTGGTAAAATCCTCTCTGCCTTGGATATGGGTAGGACCTGAACTCCTGCACCTTTTTGCTGTTAGAATAAGACAGACGTGACAGGATTACCTCTCCATGACTATAGTCCATTATGCAACCAAAACAGATTTGGGCAATGTGATTAAGGTCCTTATTCAGTTAACCTCAAATGAACAAATGGGCATCATCCTCATTGGGCCTGAACTCGTCATAGAGTCCTTCAAAAGAATATGCATAACTCAGAGGAAGATGTTCCTATTAGACTTAAAAAAGCATGCCAACAATCAAGTGTTTTTGGAGGAGGACTCTGAGCCTCAGATTAGAGCACTGGCCCACACACAACCCTGATTGCAGCGCTGTGAAACTATGAGTAGAAGACCCTACTGAACCATGCTGCACTCCTGACCCTTGGAGACTGTGAGATAATAAAGCTATGCTGTTTTGAACTGATAAATTTGTGGTGACTTGCTTTGCCGTGATCAGTAACACAAAAGCTAACTTGGAATACATATAGAGTATAACATTTCTCTTGAAATTTGTCTAATATGTAGGTCAACGCAGGAACCTGAAGAAAGATTATTGGTGGTCAACATCCCGACTCCACTGCCAATGTTATAGGACAGTAAACGTAAGAGAGATCATGTTTGAGAAAAAAAATAATTCAATTTTAATATGCAAAGTTGGAATAAATTTTAGAGGTAAAAATTGGGGATCATTGTATACACATTTATAGGAAATCACTGAAGGCACAGAATTATTTGAAATTGCTCACAGAGAATAAGAAAACAAAGGAATTAAATAAGGGTACTTTGGGAGTTTGGCAGTAAGCAAAGTGCCAAGTTCTTCCCCATGTTGCAGGACAAGGGATCTATAGGGAATGGTGCTGAAGTGATGCTGGAAAAAACCCTATGGGATCATAGTATGAAAGGCTTGACTTCATGCCAAGGGCCTTCAATGCTGAAACGCCACTGAAAGATCTTATTTTGGCAAATTTACCTTTAGAAATGTAGCCTTGACAATGGCATAAAGAATGAATTGTAAGGATAGCAAAAAAAAATGCAGCAAGGGCGTTTCGCAGGTTCTGAGGATCTTGACAGATATGGTAGCCAAGGCGACAAAGGAAGTAGGCAGGCAAAGAAAATATTGAACTCATGAAACAACGCAGATCCCATGGATCTCATGGAGACGGAGTGTGACAGTAGAAAGGGTTGGGCACAGCATGATGGCTCAATGGCTAAACCCTGCAAGGACCAGGGTCCCATACGGGAGCTGTTTCATGTTCCGCATGCTCCATTTCCCATCTAGCTTTCTGCTTGTGGCCTGGGAAAGCAGTCGAGGCTGGCCCAAAGCCTTGGGACCCTGAACCTGTATGGGACACCCAGCAGAAGCTCCTGGTTCCTGGTTTCAAATCAGCCCAGCTCTGGGCATTGTGCCATTTGTGGGGTAAACCAGTGGATGGAAAATCTTTCTTTCTGTCTCTCCTCTCTCTGTAACTATTACCTGCCTTTCCAATAAAAATAAATAAATAGTTTTTTCAAAAGAGAGAGAGAAACAAAAGAAAAAGAAAACAAAAGGACAGCACCCTGGCATAACAGGCGAAGACAAACTTTGCATGCAATGCCAACATCCCATGTGGGTGCTGGTTCATGTTCCAGCTGCTCTACTTCCTTTCCAGATCCCTGCTTGGGAAAACAGGGAAGGACAGTTCAAGTCCTTGGCCCCTGCAACTATGTGGGAGACCCAGAAGAAGCTCCTAGATCCTGGCTTCAGATAAACTCATTTCCAGTTACTATGGCTGCTTTGAGGAGGAACCAGCTGATGGAAGATATCTTGCTAGCACTCTCTCTCTCTCTCACTCTCTTGCTCTCCTTCTCTCTGTAACACTGCTTTCTAAAAAAATAGGGGGAAAGGTTTTCTGCTGACTTCCAGGTGTTGACTTGCAAATTTGGTGCAGGTTGCCAACATCTACAGAGATACAAAACTCAGAAGCAACAGTTTGAGAAGGAAGTCGATTCATTTAATTTTGATATATGCATTCAGAGTACAATGGGAGACTCACCCTGGACTACAGACACATCTTATGAAATTGAACAGGAGACCGAGAACAATTATAACCATAAATGATTCACTAAATATTATTTTAAGACATACCAGCACATTGTTAAAAGTCAGAGAATGACCTCAACTGCTTTAATCAATTAGAGAAAGCTAGAACCGTCTCAAAATATTAGGTGAATGGCATGCTATTAACAATTGGAATGCCAGCAATGTGCTCAAAGCTTGCATAGCCAAGAGACCACAGAAAAGCAACAGTTCTATCCTGATGTTTTCCTCATTGAACGTTTTGCCTACCAACTCCATTTGGGGAAAAAAAAAGCGTATTTCTTGTTACAAAGTCCTTATGCTTGAGTTAACTGAATAACTCTCTTTGAGTGCCTTTTAACCGATTTTGAAAAGAAGTAAATGTATGAATTATGTATAATGATCTTTCTAGTTTCATTGTAGGGTCAATAATCCCAAATGCAAATAAATTCTACTGAGTTCACAATCACTCTAGGAATCTGAGAGTCACAGGCTGCCCACAGATATTTCTGGCACTTCCTGCCATGTTGGCACAGGCTCACCACAAACTGGCCTTGTTCAAGCGGACTGTCATTCCTGAGCCTGATCTCAGAAACCACTAAACACATTTAAACCTTGAAAATGATGGTTTGAATAAAATGATAGTCCTGGACAGAAAATCACATAAAGGTTTATTGTACAATTCTCCCGTAGTTATTTCTTGAGAATCCGGAGTTTGGTAACGATACACATGTAATATTTCTATATTGCTACGTTTCCTAGAAAATCCGTGGCAAGTAATACCATGGGACATTTTCTATATCTTCAAGTCATCTGTTTTTCATAGGCACCAGCAGGCCTCTTCATGGTTCTGTCTTATTTGCAAATGTAAATAAACAGTTCAGATTTCAGGAAGCATTATTCACTGTAGGATGTAATAGTGAGATGGGGTGTCTGTCCCTCCCTCCCCTTTTGAGAGGCACCCCACCTCCTGGCTTTCCCCTTCCCTCTCCTTTCCCTGCTCACCTGGTTCCTTCACAAATAAACTTCTCTGTGTGCAACAGAAAACAAATAGATGAAGTAAAAGACTATCTGCGTTAATTCAAGGTGTACTGAAGTGAAATAAATAACATGTCTTAAGTCCCATAGGAAGAATTATTCCAGTTACCATTGGGAACTAAATTTTTAAGTGAAAACCTAACAAAAATTCAAGAGCCCATCTTTTTCCAAACATTACTTGCTTATGGACCCCTTGGGACCATTGCTCCCCCAAAATGTTCCTGAAAGACAGAGGGGCTTGGAAGTCAGGGAGATGACTACTGAGGCAGCAGTCTTGAGAATATGGCACAGAACTTAGGTGTGAAAACTTAAGGTTCCAAGTCCTTCTCTACCTAGACTCGATCATCTGGGCAAGGTACTCATCTCACCTCCAAATGGGGAGTAACAACTTCTACCACGAAAGACTAAGCAGATCCACAATCACTCCTCCCATGCTGGTTCTTTGGTTCACTAATCACTCATTTCACTCCATTCACTGGCTTCTGCAATTTTTTTTCTGTTCTAACCTATGTTGGACATATTACACAGCAAATAATACATGTAGCATCAAGCACCCACGTAGCTCCCATCCAGATAATTCGACTGAAGTGACAAAAAACTGGTACCAAGTTTAGACATCAACAGGCAGCTTCAGACAGTTGCAGCCATTTGTGGTGGACAAATTTGGGGATATTAAAGTAGAAAGGAACAAAATTTAAATCAGTGAATGAATGTGTTCCACACAGGGGCCAG